ATTGCACTCCCACTTATCCAAAACACACTTCCCCAACTGCTTCTGAGATCCCAGCGTGCTGGGCAAGTGATATGCAGGCAGAGCACTTCTGGAGGACATTCTTGTGCTAACACAGCCCAGTCTTTATCAGCCAACCTTTTTAGCAACAGCTAAAAAGTTGTTTATTATTTGCAAATGCAAATTACACCAAAATAATAATAATAAAAAATCTATTAATTAATTTCAAAGGATTGGTAACATTTTTCCCCAAGGAGGAAATTAATAATATTGACTATTTCTACCTCATCATCAGATTAGGATTTCTTTCTTAATTATACCCTACTCCTTTTTACTGTTGTCGTTTCTCTATTATGAATTCCAACCAGAAGAAAAAGAGAAGTTTTTTTTTAAGATTTTGAGGTCTGAATGGCAAATACAATTTAAAACAACACACAAATGCTGACAGCAACAGGTAAGTTTGTAACTCCATCTTTTCTTTCATGAGAATGAAGGATGTAGTGAGAAAAAGAATTTAGAAAGCTATTTTGTTTTGGTTTTAGTAGTGAGCATTTCAGCGATAAAGGTCAAGCAAAACATCTTTTCCCACAGCAAAAACTTACCAAGGCTTGTGAAATGGAAAATCATGGAAAAAGATTCTTTTAAACTGTTCTTCAAAGAATAACAAGAAAAGTTGAAATACAATGCATGCAACTGAACTGAAAGAGGAATGCAGTTTAAAACATCTTAATTAGTTTTAAAAGGTGGGAACGCACTAATGTGTTTTATAAGTTAAACAATGAAAAAATCAGCCTTCAAGTTAACCAATTTTGAAACTACTGAGATAACCAGCATGTACATTTAACAGCTGACAGTAGAAAAAATTCATCCCATGCAGTATTAATATTAATGGCCAAACTACCATCAATTTGAAATCAAAAGAAATTTTGGTATGAGAAAAGTACATTTAAAGAATGGTTGAAACAGTGGTAACTTCCAAAACCTGGAGTAATCTTGAATTACTGGAAAGGGAGGAAATTTAGAAACAAAGGTCAAAATACTTAATTGTCCTCTTCTTTTGGCTGTAATCCTACAAAGATTCAGTGATGCTGTGGTGTTTACCCAGAGGTGCTTTCCATATTTATGGATGGGGTAATCATTAAAGCAATTTAGGTGGCCAGGTATTAGCTTATTGACCAATGTTTGGATTAGTAATGCCACCTGTCCTGCTCAATGTAACTAAAAAAGAAAAATGACCAACAGAAACACGGAAAAAGAAAAACACCTTCACATTTCTGACAGACAGAAAACTGAAAAAAGCAAAACCCATATTCACAGATGAAAACATAGCAAAGGTCACAAGGCAATCAGGACAGCTAAGATCTTTCTTTGTTGCTGTGGACAGTTAAGACTACCAAAGTCAATACTGGGAACACTTTAGGTGGCTTGTTTTAGGTATGACAACATTGTTTTACCTGTGCAACCATTAGGATCTTGAGTTTTCCCCACTCCTGCAGTTTCAGTGCACAGAATCCTACGTGCACAAAACCAAGCCAAGCACCTCAAGATGAAGAAGAAATATTTGCAGATGCCTGCCTGTTTCCTGCCCTCTAAGTAAAGCAGGGCATTTGTGCAGCTTAGTAGGTGCTGTCTTTGTGGTAGCTGCAGTGAGATTAAAACTACGTGCAGTGCCATCTCCACACTCTGGCATAAAAATCCTGCTGTGTGCTAGCAGGGCTAGCTTGTGCTGCCACCAGGGTCAGCAGAAACAGAGCAAGTTCCTTGCCTGGACTCTTGAAGCCCAGTGGTTTCTCTAGCCCGTGGCATGATGGGGAACCAAACGTAATTCCCCCAAAACCAAATTTCATCCTAATGCACGTATACCATTAACAATCTACTTACAAAATAAATATGCAAATACCCTCACCCCCCAATAAAAAGTATTTCCTATATTAATGTCACTGCGTTATCATGAGGAATGTAGTCTGAATTTAAGACTTCTTTCCCTAAATAATATTAACCTTCTTTCCAGTCAGCCAGATTTCAAATTGTTTCATTGTTTATGTTGCTTTCTGCTTCTGAATGCCTTCATTGTGCTTCTAGGAATAACTGAGTGACAACTAATTATAGTCTTCTGATCACATGAAGGAAAATAAAGAAAGTAGAAAGTAACTAAAAAACCTAAAGAAATTGGCAGCATCACAAGTTCTGCTTCTCTCTAAATGACAAACAGCACTTCCCCACTGTGTTACTAAAATCTATAGATCATCTTACAGACAAAAGAAAATAAATTCCTTGAATATGCAATATCTTTTGGCAAAAAATGAACTGAAAACTGCTTATCAGACCAGCTGGATAGAGGATGCTCATGCAATCTTCTATCGGGCTTCAACAGACCAAAGTATTTTTCAGCAACAACAGCCAAAAGAGAACACCATGCTCCAAGGAAAACAATGACACGTCGAGTGGGGAAAACTAACACAGAGATCAGCACTGCCTTCTCCTTTGGCTATGGACACACAGAGAGGGACTAACACCACATGCTTTACCTGACCAGGCACAATGCCCTACAGCTGAACCACAGGTTATAAACAGTTTGCAAGTGCAGCCATTCAGACAAGGATGAGGTGACCCTCTCTAGTCAGTTTTTCACAATTTCTAAATTACACATGAAGGAAGGGTATGGCAGCCCAGCTCCCTCTGCTACTCATCACTCTGAGACCATGTCTCTGTGAGGACAGGGACCGTGCTGCACTAATGCTATAGAACACAGGTTAGGAGAAGATAACCTCAGAGTAGCTAACAACCAGACAGCTTTATTGCTAGCAGCAGCAACACCTGAGGAGAAAGATGGACAACTTGCATTCTCCCACTTTTTAGCTGTGTTGTTTTCACACACTATGCAAATTTGAGCCGCCAAACCCAACTGCAAGCAGAGAATAGGAGCTACTTAAATTCCCACTTCTCCAGCACACTAAAGAAATTAGACTTTTCCCAAGTAGTGCAACAAAAAGAGCTGTATTTATCACGGAGCTACAGTTCCCTGCCCATCATGCCTTCAACAGCTGTAGTGAGTGAGCTGGTTTCTGATGGACAGCCCAGACGCAGTAATCTGAATCCCACCATCCCACTGCTTATTCAGTGCCGATAGCTGATGTTACCCTCATCTCACTGGCTGGCTCGCTTTTTTTTAACGTTTTGACACTAGTCTTGAAAAGGAAGGATTTAAGTTAAACCCTTTTCAATAACGCAAATGTGTTTTTTGCAATTAAAGCCACACAATTAGCAATGACAAGCTCAGGTCAGCAGAACACAGACTATGCTGTTCAAATGCTCTGCCACTCAGTGCCTCCAGCAAAAAGATGCAGGAAAGGAGAAGAGAAAAAAAAAATCTCACACATATTATTTAACAACTTGTGCTCTGATGCACACCACCACTTGTGGATTTGTGGAGGGAGGTTCATTTATTTATTTACTTAAAATCCCTTAGGCTCTGGCCTCCTTCTCCACTGGTTGTATTCCTTTCAGACAACGAGAATTACTCCTCATGGCAAGGAGCCTGGTAACATTTAGAATTAACATCTCAAAAATAAATATTAAACAAATTTTAAAAGTCTTAAAATCCTTGACTTAAAAATGTTTCCCTTCATTCTTCACAAAAAAAAAGTGTTTGCTTAAGATCTTCCTCACTCAGTCACTTGTATTGCCTAGACAAAGAAAGCAGATTCCTCTGTCCATGTGATGACATACTGATTAATTTCAATTGAATACTGTTCTTTTTATTTAAAGTATGTAAACAGTGTGTGTGTGCATGTATAAATCACAAAAACAGAAAACTAAGTGTAGAAGCTAAAAGAATTTCTAATTTCTAATCAGCTGTACTCAGTTCTGTTTCCTCTGAAATGTCTTTGGTTCATTAATACTAACATTGGCACCTGCAGATCTTTAATATTAACATGATGACTCCCTTCTCCCTGTAGACAGACAGAAGCAACCATATATTTTAAATCCAAAAGTGGTATCATAGCAAAATGTAAGCAAACAAATCATTTTACCAGCACGATCGACAACTGTCACTTAGTAGATGCAATGTTGATTTTGGACTTCAGATCTTGATCCCATTTCTGCACAATCTCTCAAGAAAATCTGTAGTGCCACATACATGTTTATGGCATCATTTAACTGACAACAGTACTTTAAAATTAGTATGCAAAATCTGATTCAAATATTCCTATGTCTGCAATCACTTCCTTACTTTCAATGGTTATGAGAGATAAGGGCCCTGACCTTAGAAATAACATATGCTACAATGTGGTAGAATTTCACATAAAGCTGAGTTCAAGGCAGTATTTAAAAGTAACTTTAAAACACTATATTTACATTTGTTTCCAGCTCAGTGTAAGGTAAGAATCACTGGAAATCCCCAGGACAACAACAGCATGTTCCCTTGCCCTTCTGCATGGCAAGTTTATTCCTTCTGCAGAACAAGATGAGACTGGGAATTCCCAGCATAGGATTCCCAATTCGGTATATTCATGTGTCTTTGAAATTCTTAAAAAAGAAAAAGGGGAGGGAAATTATATATCATTCCTGTGTCCCTTTTTTTTTAGTAATATTTTCATTACTTCAGGGCAGAAAATCGACAGTCTACTCCTGCTAGCACTAACTAACTATATACGTATGTATAAATATATATATACACACACTTATGTATATTTACGTGCACATATACATACACACAATTTCCTTCCTCATCCCCAAGGCATTTGGGTACAAATACAAGCTATTTCTTGAGTTTCAGCTGTGTACTTGTAACAGGCTGAAAATTTTCCTCTTAAAGCCAGTTTAGTCTTTATAATTCAAATGAAAAACAGCACACATCCTTCAGCACACTTTATTCTACAAGTGATGTTAAAAAAAAAAAAAAGAAGTCAAACCCTGTGACCTGGAGTTTCAGTTCCACCAAGGAGAAATTTCTGTGGAATATGTAATGAAAATGCAGATATATAGATCACATTTCTTACCGTGTCCTCGGGCTTGACAGAAACTGCCACCACTGTTCCAGGCATAGGAGACCTCAAAATGCTGGAGGTGTCCTCTTCTGCTTTCTCTGGCATGTACTTGCTCAGCTCCGCAGCAACCTTCGTCAGTATTTGTAATTTGTACTAAAGAATAGAAAGAGGAATGTTTTAGAAAACTGCACCTTGGTGAATTCCAGTCAATAATCTGCACTATTTTATGTCATGTTTTTATATAATGCATCTGTTATCTGTTCTTCACAGGGGTGTCTAAAAAACACTGTTTGAAATCTTTATTCAGTTTCATTTTCAGAATGTAGAAAGAAAAATATGCAACCCAAATCTGCGGCAACGTGCACATAACAGGAAAGAATCAAGTACAGTAAAGAGATGTCATATTCATTTTAAAATTAGGGGTAGAGAGGGAAGATGTAAATCTAAAACTAGAAGTGCCCTTATGCTTGCTGCATATCATCTTTGGTGAATAAGGAATATTGAGGGATTTGTTTCCACTGCAGTACTGAATTGCAAATTGACCTTTTGGGAAAGTCTGCCAGACTTTAAACAACATGACTGATCTTAAACATTATGTTTACTTTTTAAAGATTTCTTTTGACCACGTATTTAGTGTTTGAAGTTAATAACTCGCTCAGATTTTACAATTAAAACATATTAATTTCAATTCTGTTCTTTCAGATGATGAAACAGTGTTGTATTGAATATACTTCATCTGTAATAAAAACTGTTTAGCAGCTGTTACCTACCTTGAGAAAAAATGCTTTCTCTAATTTTTTTTTACAGTAATTAGAAACGGAAGAGAATATGATGACCCTGAAGTGTCTAAGAGTATCTCTTTAAACAAAGCTTTCTGAAAACATATAAATGTTGCCTAAACTGAATTCAGCTCCAGGCTTTTAGTTTTTAAAAACTGTCAACTATTTTAATCACTGAGACAGTTGCTTGCCCTCAGACAGACAGTCTTCACGTTTGTCCCATGGCACCTGAAAGGGATTGCAAAGAGCCAGTAGATGGCAGCAGGTCTCTGCGTGACACTCCTGCCTCGCCAAGGCCAACCCAGAGAAGACCAGCACCGCACTTCATCAATAATTTAAACAAAGGTTTTAATAATAAGCATCGGATGAACTGCATTTACAATTCAAATGTGTATTTTGCCGATGTAAAGTTCAACACCTTGCTTGGAACAGTATGTTTTCCTCCAAAACAATTAGCTATTGTTTTATTAACAATAACATGTCTTTACTTTTCATTTTTACATGGACAGAAAAAATCCGATATCCTTATGGTGAAGGTAAAGGGGAACTCTACCTTCTGCTTCTGTAGAGAGCAGAACAAGGTATTTAGAAATACATGCAAAAGGTGATTAACTCTGCAATGACATCTTTAAAAAGCAGCTTTCAAAGGCAAATTAAAAAAACGTAATGGAGGATTATGGCATGTGGTCACACAACATTATGTGCGATGAACAGTGCAACCATTCACTTAGAAATACTTACTTTTAATCAGAAATATAAGCAAATGGTTAAACGAACCAATTCCCCCCAACTTACCAAAGTAAGTAATAAAATGCCACAACAATATTCCCTGAAGCAGTAAGGGGAACCCAAAGATTTGAGGACCCATTCCCAACCACGTGCCTCGGTTACAATTGATGTGGCTCAGGGAAATCAGCACCATTTTGTATGCAAAAAGCAGTTTTAACTCCAAACCTCCCGCAGGCATCATCGTGACAATTAAGACTGTGGCGCTCACATTCTCCAACCCAAAATACAGCTCTCCCAGCTCAAGCAACCGCGTTCAATGTGATGTGCTCACTGCAGCCTGTTTCTTTGGAAGAGAAGTGCGCGTCGGCGTGCACATACACACACTTTCATGTAGAGGCTGCAGGGAGAGGGGAGGCGATGCCTATAGGAGAATTGGTGACATAAGTTGCAAATAGAATTGCAGCAGTGTGACAAGTCAAATAATAACATCTTATGCATGTTTCTTTACTCTTGAGTGTCTGTTTTGCAATCAAGACATACAAGTGTCTGCCAGTTTCTGAAGGATATGATCCTTAAGTGAAATTACTGTGCAAATAAAAGCTTTTTACTCCTATTAAAATTCATCTGAGTCATAAGTGGCAAGGAAAAAAAGCTTGCAGAGTGTATTCTGCTGTCAATCTAATAAACATTCTGTTCAGAGGGACTATTTATCAAAGATAAATTGTACTTAAAAGTCCTTCATTAAATCTATGGGGGGGAATATAATTACACCAAATTGCACAGTTTCAGTATCCACGGTTAGTGTCTTCTTTGTACTCAGTTTGAAAATAAATAAAAAAAAAATTTAAAAAAGGAGAGGAAAAAAAAGAAAAAAGGAAGAACACAGAAATAAGATTTGTGGACTGTATTGCCTCTTGCAAGAGACTATTTTGATATGATTTCAAAGGACTAGGTGTATATGCCATTTAGTTTTTGGAGCCACATACAACACTTCCAAACTGCCCAATTTCAAATTTAAACTTGAAGAGAAAGCCAGACCTTCATCTAGGTTACAGTATTTCACAGGGGCTGAAATACAGAATTCCCTATGCACCCCACCACATACAGCAGTGGGGGAAAAACCACATTCCTCGGCATGCTGCACTTTAAAGCTCAGTTCTCCACACCAAGCTAAAATATCCCTACCAAACATTGTTTTTACTATCTTTATAATTTTCATATCTTTTAGATTCCTTTCTCGGCAGGGTTCCTGCTTTACTTGGAGTGAGATGTAAGAGTCAGTACTCTCAAAGCTTTAAAACGCAGGTCTTTGTTATTGATGAGCTGTTCCTTTTCCTTTTGTATTTGTTTATTGTTCTTTAGTCTGTTTGGGGGATAAGCAAGTTACTGTAATCAAAAAGCAAAAAATAACAACAGTAAACTTCTGGGGAAAGGCCTTTTTTGGCACGGTTGGTTTACAAATGACCTTTCAGAAAATAAAAAGACAAAGCCGAAAAGAAAGGTTCCTTCTTTAAGATTACCTTTGATGTATTTCGGCTCTTGGCTGGCCCACACTAAATACCTGCATAAGCATCCCTCTGTGACTGCTGTTACTTATCCCTGGGGATGAGTTGTGGAGTTGGGTGCAGGGTGCTGTTCACCTAACCAGGGTACAGCCTGAAGCTCGGGGAGAGCCACCGGACTCTCTGGAAGATCACGCCAAACAACGCCTGCCAGTGCTGCCACAACAAAGACGATTAAGAATATATCACATTTTTTCATTACATGACGAACACGCTGCTACGCTTTTGATTTAGTGAGGACAATGCCGAACATAGGAAGCAGAAGTTTTGATATGCTACTAACGAGTGCGGATGAGGTTCAGATTTTTTTCCTTTATCCTCAGGAGGAGGAGGAGATGGGAGAAAGAAGGGGCGTAAATTGGGGAAGGCTGTGAAGTTTGGGTTATAAATAGCGACCAGGAGGTTTTCACTGGCCTACACCAGAAGAAACATTTGTTGGAGTCATAAACAAATTGCAGGTGGACTCTGAGAGCAAGGAAATCTGCTAGCCATCAGATCTGCCCTGATGAGTAGTTGTCACCAGCCACTGCTCCACTCCACAGGGTTTCAAAGCCTAATTCTGCCAGCCAAAGTTAAGTCAATAAAGCAGTACCAAAAGGAGCCATACAGCTTTTGATGACATAGAAACCAGGTGTTTCTTTTCCACCAGACTGTTGGGAGTCCACAGTCAGGTGACAAAAATTATAGTAGGGAAAACTGATGTTATTTAATAGTTTTCTAAGGGTAACAGTATCCTGTCCTATCTTTCCCACTAAATGAATTGGATGTTTGTGTAATGCAAAACTACCTCTTACAACCCAATGTCCAGGACAACAATAAGAACATAAAAGGTGCAAAAACAGCAATGTAAGGGGAGGGAGGGGAAGTGTATAGCAGGGGTTGGGGGGGGCGGGTGGGAGAAAAATAAGCAAATAGGGTGAAAAATTATACCTTGGGTTTTGTGGAGGTTTTTTGTTGATACAGACCGTACTGATCCTCCAAGTCACTAGATAAGTAGAATAGCTGCTACAAAAAAGGTCACTAGAGCATATCTGGCCCCATCTGTGCTTAAAAACAAGTTCTGTAGTTTGGTTCCCTTACCGCGCCTGCAACTAAACATTGCAAATCTTCACTAAAATGCTCAAAATTGCACTCTGGTACATCTCACACTAGTTTATTGAATATGATCTTCCTTGTACCCTTGAAATTCATGTCCCAGAACCTGTAAATGTTCAAATTCCATTGGAGATTTTATAGAGCAATCACTACCCATATGTTACTTATGACAGTGTTTGGACTGCTGACCAGATGTGGATTTTCAGTATACTTTACCTAAATGTTCAAGCATGTTTTTCAAATGTCTGTCATTCTTGTGGTCAGAAGGGTGAAAATCTTAGGTAGCTCAGATTTCAGTACAGAAATTGTCTGCTCTGTGTCTTCATTATTTTCACTAGCCTCACAGTCTCATTTTTGGAACCAGTGAAATGTAGTAACACAGTGGTCACATAATTTTCCTTTAACATTCCACATCCTGCCTCAAGTTACTTAACTGTTGTCACCTGCACTTGGACGTCATCGACTCACAAGGAGTAGGTTATTCAGTATTCAGTCCAAGCAACGTTCCAGCTCCAAACACAATGAGCACGCTGCCTTTTTTATTATCATTATACACTTAACCATCATGACCGTACCCTCGCTTAGATTTCCACCACAGCACCTAAACAGGAAAACGATGTATTTATTCCATATAACTCGAAGATGTTAGGCACTACTTTCTTTCAGAGTCAAGGATTCCTTACTCAACAGGGAGGTAAATGACATTTTGCAACTCACGGAGGCTTTTTTCCCCGAAGACTGAGTTCTAGAGCTGATTTACTTCCACAGGGTGGTGGGGAGGACTAACATTAACATCTGCGCAAAATAACGGCACTTTTAGTCTGATGGCGGAGCAAACACTCAACACGCTACGAAGACAGCTGTTAAATAATAATAATAAAAATACCAAAACAGCCACAAAAATCATGAGCCTTTAGTAGCAGTGAAAGGGAAAGAAAAACGAGAGGAGCCTCACCACCACGTAGTACACACTCCAGCAGCAGAAACT